ACTATGGTTAGATCTGATTAGCCAAAGGCAGGATTTTGCACACAAAACAGAAGATTAGACCATATGAGCTCATGGCACACTTCTGATTCTCCTAACCAAATGAAGGTGGTTACTGTACTAAACTATAGGTTTGATTATTAGACAGATATTTAGATGTTTTGCAACCACATGTTCAACTTGATGGTCTGCCCAACAACGGTGTGAGTGCACGCACTATTACATGTCTCAAAGTGAAAAATAGCACCTAGTCACTTCAAAACTACCAACAAGATGTAGTAAGCTCCTGACTGCTAATGCAGTTTTGCTTTCACTCAAATATTGCTTCTTTCTGTATCATATTTGTATAAATATTAACTGTTCAGTGAATCAACAATCATGAATGCTTCAGTGCATATATCAAAACTACTGCTCCTGCTTGCCAGCCTCGATACAGTACATGAATTCTAATGGCAGTCTCCTTTATTTAAGCAAAATTAAGTTCTGTGCTCGCTGCCAAGGGTTGTTTACAAATCACCGCTTTCTTCAATAACACCACATGCTGCAATATAACATCCAGAAAGATAATGCATTTTTAAGGATTTGCAATCAACATAAAGACATTAGTTTTGTAGCTAGCACTAGGCAGGTTTAATACATGCTTTCCTGGATGTATTTCTACATCTGCCACTAAACAATGCCCTTCCCCACTGCTCCATAACTAGAACAGTCTAAGGACAGATTTGCAGAAACAACCAGCATTGTGGTAGCTGATTTCAAAGCAATGTATTTGGCAAGGTGTTCATGTATAGCATCCATTAATCTGAAACTTGGGGTTTTCACTGCAAACCTCTTCCTAAAGTGCTATCTGTTGGTTTTGTAACATGTAATACATGGGAAACAAGTGGGGCATGGTAGCGAGGAGAGAAGAAAAATGTTGAGAGAGAACTTTTATTCAATGAAGTAATAGATGATTTATTTTTAAACAAACTGCACTGAAGGCTGTTTTAAAAACATCAGCCTGAGCTTGGATCGTAATTAGAATAATTTGAAGACATGAGTTTCTATAACAATGGCAAATAGACTTTCACTTAAGCACTGCTGCAGATCACCACTATAATGAACTAGCAAGCAATAATAAACAGCAAGTCTCTGCCTACCATCAAGCCTACTGTGTCTGGAACAACATCTTCATTCCAGTTATTTGCCTTTTCTGTTAAGTATTCATAGGCACATCAGCAACCTATAGTTGATTTATACCCTACAGAGGATTCTTACAACCGTATATTAGTGGCACAATTATAGTTTCATTTGACATTTTGACTCAGTTGCTTAAAAAAAAAAAATCTTAATGATTATGAACTGTTACTTTTTAATTGGCCTCAATGCAAAATGCATTTGATGAATACAACTGTATGTACACTACATAATGGCAGACTACGATGGAAATAACTTATGTTTCTTTCAAAAAACAAAATGACAGATTCTCATCACAGTTTTCTAGATGGCTACTAAAGCTCGCAGGTCCCAACATAAGCAAAATCTGTGAGCATCGTTTTATGGCTAGGGTGAAGAATGGGAACAGGCTGAAGTGTAAACCATTAAAAGAAGGCAGGACAGATTTTGCAAATGTGCAATTATAAAATGTATGAGGCTTCATTAACAATTAGTTATTTTCACCCTGTAATCCTTATCATAGACATTCCTCTTAACATCTTAACCTACACACTTCAAAAAGCTTGCTGATGACCTTGCCATAGTTGCACATGCCCTGCTTATATCCAGACAAGACTATATTGCTATGTGCTCTACATGAAACCACTTTACAAAAAGGTTTGAAAGCTCCAGCTGGTTCAGAATGTAACTTCCCAGAAATGTTCAGGACAAAGTGGCTCCATCACATATACCATATCAGCTGCAATAGCTACCTGTACATTTCCAGGCCCCATCTAAAAGTGCTACTGGTGACATTTAATCCTAAATAGTTTGCAACCAATTATTTGAAGGACTCCTTGCACCTGAACAAACTTTCCTCATATTTAAATTGGGATGGCCAGATGTCCTTCTTTACAGATGACACTCCACTACAGTGGAACCTCGGGTTACGGCAGGGATCCATTCCAGAGGCCCCGCCACAACTCGAAAATGATGCAACCCAAAGCATTGTGTCTGTGCACACGCACGGAGTGATTTAGCGCTTCTGCATGTGCGTGAACCCAGAAGTAACCCATTCCGGTACTTCCGGGTTTGGGCCGGTCGCAAGCCGAGGGTGACGTAAGCCAGAGGCAACGTAACCCAAGGCTCCACTGTATTTGAAAGGCTCTCCAGTGCAAATCCAGTTTAAAGAGAATGAATGATAAGAAGAGGGAGCAAGGGCATGAGACTATGAGATGCACAGGTTACTTGGCCGGTCTTCCCCATTATGGTAAGATGTTTTGTATTACTTTTAAAATTACAGTAATTATTTCTAGATTTGCATATACACATATAAATTAGCATATAAAATTTTGCTGTTCTCATTCTCTCTCCAACCCCACTTGGTAATCAAAAAATCCCAGTGCTATTTTATATAGACAGCATGACTCTTATATAAGTATCCCAAGCAGGATATTATCCCAGTGGTGGTGTTCTCTGAAAGGCAGGGTCCTGGATTGTCATTTCATGCAGCCATGTTCTTTCACTTATGTACTTAAGACTTTGTTTCAATGAAAATACTCTATGGCACACCCATTTTGAGACACTTAACATTTCATTTACTTATTCATACTAAACTATCATACTAAGAGTTTGTTAGAACCGATGTCAAACCTTTTATTGCTAAAACTGTATCTTGCTACATGGTGAAGCAATTTGAGACAGCTACTGCAGAGATGTAATTGTTCATTACTTGGATTTCCACCTAGCACTTCTAATGGATTACTTAGAACTGTTGGTTCACCATCTCTGAAATAATGTATTCATAAATCCATGATCCTATACTGAAATATGTGTGTGTGTGTGTGTGTGTGTGTGTGTGACTGCTTATGTCAGACTAGCATTTTGCAAAACTATTTTTTAGACCTACAGAACTGAGAAGGCCAGTTGTAACTGTTTGATATTAAGTTATTAAATTTCCCCTGTAATGTTATTTTTGACTACAAGATCTGTGAAGCAATTTTTGCTGAAGTAGCCAAAGTGGACTTTGAATATATGAAGAATTATGTAAGTTTTCAGTTTGGTATATTAAAAATTAAATCCGATCATAAAAGGGTTACTTATCTGTGGAAATTAACTTTTTCCCATTAGATATGTTTACTTAGCTTGGATTTTAAATTGTGCCAACTGAATATCAGAACGGGAAATTTTTTAACAGGCCAACAAATGTCCATTTTGGCACATATAGAGCAGGCCAGATCAAATACCCTGAGCCTTTATCCTACAGGACAATAAAACTGAACTAGGGATAGATTCCTCTATTTACTTCACAATTTTATAGGTCAGTCGTATGATTTCAAAATTAAATAGCTGCTGGTCAAAGTAGACAAGCTTATTAACTATTGGGTAGCTTTATATGCCCTGTAACACATATGTACAATCTTGTTGACAATATCAATTTTTACATACAGAATTTTTAATACACACACAAACATACTGTATGTAAAATTTGGGGCCAAGATAGTTGCGACTAATTCCCCATGCTTCAAATTTAGAAGTGCACATGGGGATGGGGGAGGGAGACCTTAAAACCAGGTTAATCCATGATTGATTCATCTACATGTCTCGGTATACAAAAAGATTTAAAGAGTAACCATTTTCATAACATGCATTTCCAAATGATGTTGTAATCTTTTACATTCACCCAAATAATTTTTCACTGTGGTTTAAAATAATAATTTAAAAGAAAAAAAACCCAAAATATGTGAAGCGATTACATAGTGTTTTCTATCTATTTCACAATGTAAATAACAAAACTTTGTGTGGGGCTTCTAAGAAATATTGTACCCAAACACCCCACTTGAATCCACAGTTGAGCAGACTTCTTTATAAAACATTTTTCAACTGGATATTTCAAAACATATTTTAATCAGATTTAAGAAAAACTTCTAGAACTTTCCAATCAGTATTAGATATATCACCATATTTTTCTGTGTATAACACCCCCCCCCCCCGGTGTATAAGACGCCCCCTATTATTGGGGACTCGAAATCAAGAAAATGCACTATGCACTATCCATGTATAAAACGACATCTTATTTTAAACTTCAAAAATTTAGGAAAAAATATAGTCTGATACACGGAAAAATTCAGTATTTTATTATTAACTTCATTGATGCCACACAGGAATATGGTGTTTCCATCCCAACTCTACCAGATACTTTTCAGTGAAATTCAGGATTCTTTCCTTGGGTTGAATGTTCACATATCAGCCTAGCAGAAACATTTATTGATCTATAAGAGTAAGCAATGTTAACAAACAGACCTTCCATCTCACTACTTGCATAAGAAGGTCACCTGTGCAAGAGGGGCAAGTGCCAGGTAACAACTTGTTAGCTGTTCTTAAAGTATTATTTCCAAGCTAATATCTGCCAAGAAATAAGACTGTATAGGTAAATATTCAGGAACCAGAGGCAACATTATAGCAACATTTAAAGATATTCAACACTACCACCAACAGTTACGTATTTTTGTGTAGCTTAGGCTTACCTTGCAAAGAAAGCTAATATTAAAGCCAAGTGACTGAGCATTTCTTGAGCCTGAATTCATGTAGTTTCCTATCAGTAGCACAAGTTCCAACAGTCTGCTAAAATTTTCACTCTTCTTCAGTTCCTCACAGGCGATTGTTACTGCCATGATGCCAGGCTTGATATTGTTTATGTGCTCTTCAAATGTAAGTTTGAAAAGGATGCCATTGAGGCGAGGCCGTAACATTTTCACCGAGCTCATCTGCAAGATTAGAAACAGCTTGTGGATTATGTGCAAAAACACTCTTCATGCAATACATCAGAACAAAATAAAAAAATTCCTTCCAGTAGCACCTTAGAGACCAACTAAGTTAGTTATTGGTATGAGCTTTCGTGTGCATGCACACTTCTTCAGAGAGAAGGTATAGAAGGTATCTGAAGAAGTGTGCATGCACATGAAAGCTCATACCAATAACAAACTTAGTTGGTCTCTAAGGTGCTACTGGAAGGATTTTTTTTATTTTGTTTCGACTACGGCAGACCAACATGGCTACCTACCTGTAATCAGAACAATATGATCACTCTTAAAATATTATTTTCCATACTGTATATATGCCACCTGAAAAGACATATTTGCTCTACTTCCCATAGTAGTAGTAGAAGCCCATGTTTCTTTATTCCTGAGACACGATTACTGCACATTTTTACCATTTAGGTTAAAAAAACCACAACCAGGTAAAGGACCCTTGGGTGGTTACACCCAGTCAAAGGCAACTATGGGGTTGTGGCGCCCATCTTGCTTTCAGGCCAAGGGAGCCAGCGTTTGTCCACAGACAGCTTTCCAGGTCATGTGGTCAGCTTGACTAAACCACTTCTGGTGCAACGGAACACTGTGACCAAAACCAGAGCACACGGAAACACTGTTTACCTTCCAGTCGCAGTGGTATCTATTTATCTACTTGCATTGGTACGCTTTCAAACTGCTAGGTTGGCAGAAGCTGGGACAGAGCAATGGGAGCTCACTGCACTGCACTGATTCGAACCGCTGACCTTCCAAATGGCAAGCCCAAGAGGCTCAGTGGTTTAGACCACAGCACCACCTACGTCCCTGTAAACAGTATGACTCAAGGGTTTACCAAGCAAAAACAAAACTTTACTGATTCTGAGGACCCTTTTCTCTCCCTTCAGAAAATATCTCTCTTTTCTCCTCATGCCATCTTATTGTACCATCTTCATTCATCTCTATAATACGCAGCAGTGGGCTTTTAAACAACATTATTCAATTAATCTCTGCCTATCCTTCACCATTCCCCCTTTCTTTGTGTCCTTTTCTCATGCTGTTGTCTTTTAGACTGAAAGCCTAGGGACTGGATCACTTTTAATATACTATCAGCACAATGCCTAGTTGTTGACATTTTTTAGTATCCTTGTCACTGATATTCACAATGTAATAACCTGTTGATTCTTCCCACCCACTCTCATTGACCCCTTTCTTTTGTTCTTGCAAGGAGATAAAAGGGAACATCCCCATATAGCTCTATTTCCTTTTTCCTAATATTCACACACTGTGTGATTCTTGCTCTCTTCTTCCCATTCCTGCTATTCAAAAGAAGCTATTGATAGGGGAAAGAAGGGAGAAAACTCTGTCAGGCAACTTAGAGTCCAAGCTTAAATCTTCAGAGGGCTGAATAAGACCAAGGGTGACACACACATTTCCAAATCCTGCTTCAATAATTATTTTGTTTCCCAGCGTAGATGCCCCAGATAGAAACACTGGGAGCAGAAGACACACTGTCTCACTTTGCACAGGATGCTAAACCAAACCATAGCTTAGCATAATTGTGTAGGCACCTGGAGAAATCATAGCCACTTTGCTCCTCCTCCAGTCCTGCTGGCATGGCTTGGCTTAGCAAGTTGTCAGAATCTAGACTTATGGCTTATCTTCTCCAGATAGCTGCAAGATGTAAACCCAATTTAAAAAAACAAAACCTTAGTTATAGCTCAACTAGAGCAGAACAAACCACAAGCTAGGGTTACACAATAACCAGGGCTCAGCTCTCAACAGCACAGCAGCAGGAAGACTGGTTGAGGAGCAAAGTGGCCATAATCTAGGACAGGGGTCAGCAAACTTTTTCAGCAGGGGGCTGGTCCACTGTCCCTCACACCTTGTGGGGGAGCCGGAGTATTTTTTTTGGGGGGGGGGGTGAATGAATTCCTATGCCCCACAAATAACCCAGAGATGCATTTTAAATAAAAGGACACATTCTACTCATGTAAAAACACCAGGCAGGCCCCACAACTAACTCAGAGATGCATTTTAAATAAAATCTACTCATTCTATTCATGTAAAAACACGGATTCCCAGACTGTCTGCGGACTGGATTTAGAAGGCGATTGGGCCGGATCTGGCCCCCAGGCCTTAGTTTGCCTCCTATCTAGGAGCTCACACATCCTCAAAAAACCATCATTTGGCTTAACATTGTGTGCAAACTGGGACATTTTGTGGTTAATGAAATAGTAACAAAAATTTAGCAAGAAAAGGGTAATAAACATAATATAGATGTGTATACTACTTTGTAATTTCTGAGGGCCATATACTAATTACTGCACTTTTATTCATAATTTGAGATGTTTTCCAAATATATGCAATTTGGAATTATTGTTAGTTATTTAACACAGAACCAAAACAAATGAACAAAAACCCTCCTTTGACAGGGTTTATGGAAGGAAAAATATTTAATTAATACTAGCTTAACCAAAACTGTTTTTTCCCCTTTGACATTAGGAGGGGAAATGACTCCATTATATTTTTAAGCCATGTTCACAGCCAGTCATGAATCTGTAGGAACATAATAGTTACTGGGGATACACAAATAATGCCACAGGCAGATAAAATCATTAAAAGCTTCTAGTCTCACAACAGCATTCAGCCAGACTAAGCCATATAAGCACCTAAAAGTATTTGATTGAAACCAGTGACAGTTGTCAGATGTGATCTTTTACTGCATTTCAGATGCCTTACTCTTTTTTTAATGATTCATTGCATAAGTGCTCTAGGTCACTGACCACAATTGTGCATTATGCAAAGGTTTATTTGTATTATGAGGTCATTGTCCATCAAAATGCTACCAAGGGAATTTCATTATTTTGAGTTGATCCTACACTTTATTAAAAGGGGGAGGAAGAGGCATTGACAGATTTTTATAACTGTTACAAGTGCGTTATTTCCCTATGGACCATCTGATTTATGCTTTTGCTACTTACAAGATTTCTAAACAGTGTTCCAGTCCTGTCACTGAAAATAATCAGACCTCCCTTTGAACAGATGGGGAATTCAGTCAACCATATCCCCCTCTCCCAAAAGGTTTAGTTTCTGAGCCAACACAAAGTGAGAATCAAGTGGAATTTGATGGTCTACAGCAGGGGTAGGCAGAAAGCAGACTGAGATTTGCCACTGGGTTTCTGGGTCCTTTTCAAAAGATCAAAAAGGATGTTTGACATCTAATTGTTTAATGATAGCAACCATTTCCCCCTAAAAAATAGGATGCTAAAATGAAGAAAGCAGGGGGTAAGAGTGGAACCAGCAATCCCCACCCCTTTGAATGGACTGTGAGCTCATTATGGCGGCCTTGTTTGCTCATCAACATAAGCCAGAGTACTACTTACCACAGCTGCACATATGTACTGATTCCCCTTCAGGCTTCTAAAGACAGTCATTCTTTGGCTTAGCGTGTTGGCCAAACTCAAGATCACAGTTAAGGTCTTTCTCCCTTAGGCATGACTTGTAACCACAGGGCAAACCTTGGCTATATGTTGTGGTTAAGGAGGAGAAACCTTAAACCCTGGTTTGGTTGACAATCCCTGGTTTGGTTGACAATCTGAGCCAAATATTGATTTCGCTACTATGCTGACCTAAAAGACCTAGGGAGGGTGCAAAGCTGCAACAATCTCTTCAGCAGCTAGCACGTCTATGCTAAGCAGTGGTTTGCCTTGGTGTGGAATGGGAATTCAATCACTAAAAGCAAGTTTCTGATCTCAGAAGTGTCCTGTTTCTTATTAACATAAGAAGAGCCTGCTGGATCAGGCTGCATCAACCAGATGCCTACGAGAAACCCAAAAGCAGGACAGTAATTCTAACTGTGTGGCCACCCCTTTCTAAACTACTATTTTCCAATTTGGCCAAGAAGGTAGAATGGTGGGGGGTAAGCAGGTCATGGAAGTGTGGTATGTCCTTATGCTGTATAAAAGGATTCAAGATATATGTATAATAGAGCCATGCTGAGAAAATCTAACTTGTCTAACTTGTCTAAGACTTGTCCTGGTCTAACAGGGATTCTGTATATTTCAAAAACTCACTTCCAGCATTTTAGAAACAAGCACAGTTCCACTCAATTCACCCTCACTTGCTCTTTTTCTAAAGTACCAATAAGAAAACACAAAAAAGAGGCTACATTAAGAACTAGATAACACAGGAGGCATAGTTTCATTGATAGTTATGGTTTGAAAGAGTTGATATGTATGTGATGGTTAAATTGGACACTGTTTTTTTTGTAGGCTTCCCTGATGAAGAGCAGCAAATCGTCTACTAAATAATTAATAAATCAGGGTCTTGACTACTTAACTACTACACTTCATTATTAGCTTCGCTAATAAGAAACAAAACAGAAATCTTAGGATTTCATTTGAAGAGATTTGCAATACTGTGGCCTAGCACTTATTAGAAGTGTTTCTCAAATTTTGCTTCCTTTTCTTAGTATGGATAGGCGTAGTGTTAGCATTTTTTATTCACTGCTTTGTGGGAAAAGATTATTTGGTTTTGAAGAGCCCATTTAAGCAAGTTAGGTTTCTACTTTAATATTAAAATGCAGGCACCAGTAGGATGCATTTATTACAAGTGCTGGCATACTAACCAAGCTATATAAAGTGCTAAATAATAATGGTAATAATAATGGTAACTAATCATACAAGAAGGTGTTTGGAAATTTGATTATAGGAGCTGACAGGAAAGCAATATAATCAAATGAAGTATTATTATCATCTTTTTATTATTTTTATTTCATAAATTTTATACATCACTTGAATTTAAAAAAAATAAATCAAAGAGGTTTCACATAAAGATTAAAGTACAGGTAACTTGCAACTTACAGGCATTTACCCGCATTTCAACTTTACGCGGCTAGTTGAAATCACATAAATTAAATGCATGGAAGGCAAAGAGCTTAAAAGCTCATTTTGTACAAGCTTTACTTGGCATTGACACGGCTTTGAAACTTTCACACTTACTTACTGTGCTCTGGGATGCTCTCACAAGATCGTGCAGGCACTCAGTCGTCCTTGTAGATCTCGCGAGAGCCTCCCAGAGCACAGTAAGCAAGATGGAGAGCTTACAAACTCTCTGCCTTGCTTAGAGGGAAGGGCTCAAGACCCATCTGACGTGCCACTTCTTGAAGATAAGATTGGTTATGCGGTGGTTTTTGAGTATATGCTT